GGTGAGATTTTTCATCATTTAAGTTTCATTTTTTGTCAAAGCACTTACAAAGAAAATAATTTTATACTTATGAAATGTTAGTGTTGCATATTCTTGTAGAGATGATCTATTTCAATTTTATATAATGGATATTTAAATTATTACTATTTTTACAAAGTAGAATAGGGCAGTCTTTTTGATCATCAACATTCCTTTGCTTCTTAAAAATTTAGACAAAGTTCCTAGTGCATTTTATTAAGCTTTACCTTTGGTGTTAAGCAGTGACTTATTAGATTTCCCTTTTAAAGAATTTCTGGAGTGAAGGTTCTTTGGCTTTGGGGGACTATGCTATCTAACGACAGTCAAACCTTTTTTTTTTTTAAAGAAAAATAGAAGTCTACTATTAGATACCATAAGAGAGAGAGATTTCAGAGACAGACAGAGCAATATGCAGCTTCTGCAAGGAAATCACCAGCTCAGTTCTCACTTACCCTGATGTTCACCTCTCCATCCCTGCAGCAACACCAAAGTGCCTCATGGCAAGTGAAAGCCAGGCCCTTTGTTCCTGCTGCTCCAGCTCTGAGCCCAAGCTATTGGGGTGCCTGAACATGGGAACCACACAGAAGAGTCACTTGTGCCAGCAGGAACGTTGCCACCACGGCCACTCTACACCACAGCACCTTCTGTACTATTTGATATCTGGAGTCCAAATCTGTTTATGCAAAAGGGTGTTTAAATTACTCTGCTAGAGCACTGCAATTCTTGTACTCAGTAAAAAAAAGTCACTAAACAAATACTGTATCTATGGCCTGCTCATTTACAGCTTATTTAATTATTTACATAATTTTAGGACACATTAACCTAAACCATAAGTAGAATTAGCTTTTTGCCTTACCATAAAGTACAAATTAGAAGTTAAAAATGTTTAAGAAATCTGATAATATTTACACACGTTCAGCTTAAGTCATGGTTGCTCACATTGGATGTTCTATGTACACAGAGCAAAATGTTATGATCACTACTGATATAGTATTGTACCCTGGCCAGCCCACCCTAGATTGTTTTCTAGAAATAGTTACTATTTTTGCCTTTTTTTTGTTGGTTCCCTAAGGAATTGATTGGTTTTGAAAACTTACTAGTGGACAATGCTGTTATAAAAAGAGAGAAGAAATAGGCAAGCAATGTAGGACTGGTGTGGTTCCAGCTGCAGGAGGTACAGGACTGTCACCAACACTCCAGACAGACCCAGCCTTGAGCTGCTCACCCAGGAATGCCCAGTTACCCTGTAGAGGAAGTTGTTTGGTTTGCTGAAATACATTAATCTCTTTTTGTCAAAAATATATTCATACACTGGTTGATGGTAGAAACAAAACTAGTATTGGCTTATTCCTTTAACACACCAAGAGATGAAAGGGTGTGCATATCCACACTGCCCTGGGTATACACACACATATGTCCATACAGACAGGCAGGGCTGTGTCCATATGCACATACAGCTGGAGAATGTTTCACATCCCTTCACTTGTGGTTACTACTGTGTTACAGAATTGGAACACAGTCTAAAAATTATAGTGAAAATTAATTGAGGTTTCATTTTAATGCATATTTTTCTGAAATAAATAGGATCTTTTCCCCAGGTGTGAGACCACCACTCATCTTTTCTATGCATTGTGCTTTTGTACCTTACAGATTTTATGTCCTTTTTGTCAGGATGTCAGAACTCTCTGAAGAACTCTGTGCCATGCTGTGATCTAACACTGTTTTCCTCCCCTGGGAATGAGAAAAGAATGGTCACGATGTCATTGCTTGAGTCTTTCTTCCCAGTCTTTGAACTGCGATAGGATAGAAACGTAACATTCCTTATGCAAACACAGAAACATGTTGCATGAATTGTCAGTTCTGAAAATGTGTATCACTTACTAGCAGTCATGTACAGAATATATTTACAGATTGATCTCAAATATTTCATTAAAACTGTGCCATGTTATAGTCATAATTCATCCATGAATTTCACAAAGATGAAAAACACCTTAATTGCTGGCTATTATGTCTAATAGAACAATAAAATGTGCAACTATAATTATATTACAAGTTTTATCTAAATTATTCACTTTGATATTTTGTTTATTGAAACTAACAACAATCAACACGATTAAAAAGATCTAGAACATTAATTTTCGGTCAACTCTAAAGTAAAAGTGAATTTATTCTAGTTTACCTGGAGGGGAGCACACGTAGCAAACCCCATATCTCATGTATGTTGGCAGAATTCCTCCCTTTCACTCGAGCACCTCAGGAGAGCAGTGAGGGCTCACCTTGGGCTCGAGTTCCTTCTCCCTGGCAGTGCCTCACCAGCCTTCCTCACCCCCATCCCTTTGGGTCACAGTGTTAAGCCTTGGTACAAAATGATAGAATCCTTCTCTTTCACTACTTTTATACATCACATTAATAGCCAGAAGGACATAGGAAAAGCAAAAGTGCTCCTTCCCCCCAGATAATTTCTCTTCCCGAGAGACACCTGAGCAGAAACCAAACATTTTCTTTCCCTCTCTGAGCAGCATCATCAGAGAGTGTTATGGCTTGTTCTGGAGCTTCAGTGAGAGAATGTGCAGGTCCAGGGTCCATCTCTGTGGGTTTGGGAACAGCTGGAGCAGGGAACCAGTGCAGAGTCAGCAATTCCCTGTAAGCTCTTGGGTTTGCTGGTCCCAACCCAGGCAGGTGGGAGCTCCCTGCAGTCCCACTCTGCTTTGGGCAGGAACACCGGAGGCAGCAGCGATTTCGGGAGCAAAGAAAAGCCTTTGCAGAAGGATACTATGACACTGCTTTTATTTAGGGTAATTAGGACCGTTTTTAAAGAACAGACCTCCAAGAGAAATACTGAATTTTGCTGTGGCTCCATTTCTTAGAACTGGGAAAAGATTCCAGAGTGATTCCCAGCTCCCAGGAGAAATCCCAAGTGCATCTACAAAGGTTATTGCGTCCAGCATGAAATGCAGCAGAGACTGAGCGTGGGAGCAAACTGGGACCCTCTGACCTGGAGAGTGAAAGTCTGTCCCTAGTGCAGATCTGAACCTGGAGGCAGCACCTGAACGTCCACACAACCTCCTGCCATGGAGGGGGGATGGCAAGTCCCAGCTCAGGCTCAGAAACCAGCCCCTCCCATGGGAAGCAGAAATAAGCACATGAGATGCTCAAAACAAAGTCAGAAAATTGGCCTATTAGTTCCCAGAACTATTCTCCTCCTATCACTGTCATTCACTGACAATCAGGGAAAAAAATCCACAGAAACTTGTAAGAAAATTATTCTTTTAAAGAACAAAAAAATAAAAGAAAATATTTTATGAAAAATATTCTCAAGATATATTTCTCTCCTGAAAAAACCCTTTACTATCTAGTTTCTTTCAAAGATTTGTACACAGATAAGAGGTAGTATGGATGCAAAAGATGTGGCTTTTGCTTCTTGAAACACTGTGTGTTGAACAATATTGGGGGATCTGATTTAGTAAAAGCCATCAAAAATTTATACTTTTTCTACAGTTCTTGTGATTGCTTTTTTCATTACAGAAAATGTCCCACAGTGGAATAAATGACAAAATTATTTTTGTCTACATTATTTTTTGTTTATTCTATTTTGTCTGTAAAAGTAAAGCTCTATGGAATGAAAAAAACCCCAACCTTTTATTTCAAAAGGTTTCCTCAAGAAAAACTGAAATTTGCCAGTTTTTCAATAGAAATCACCCTAAACAGGAAACACTCAAGAGTGAATTGAACTCTTAAAGTCATTGCTACCACTTTCTTTCCCTTAAAACAGTGCATTAAGGAAAACCAAAAGTGAAATGGTATTGCCTAATCCAGACTGAGAAAATACCCTGTATGGAAATACATCTGCTGGGATCTTTACTGCTGGAAGAACTGCACCACCTTTATCCAAGAGCAGCAGGAATAATGCTGGAAAGAGGCAAACCTGGAAGAAATCACACGACTGTTTGAGACTGAGGTACAACTGACAACACTCCTTTGCACAGTGTACAGATATATATGTGTACAGATATTTATGTGTACAGATATATATATGTACACATACATATATATATGTACATATATATATATACATATATATATGTACACATACAGATATATATATGTACACACACACACTTCTCTATAGTGCAGCCTTTCCTCTCCTTGCCCCTGGACTCTGTGATTGCTCTCCAGCTCTCCCTGCCCTACAGGAAGGCAGGGCATCCCTGCTTTCCTTCAGCCATCTACAGAATTACTATTTGGGCAACCAATTTTGGCACTTTGGACAGATGATTCCCTTTCCCCAACCCAGCCCAGCAGAATACCTACCCCTTCATCACTGAGGCATTTTTACCCCGTTGCTACATTCCTCAACTGATCCCAACTGTGGCTGTGAGCATTTGTTCTCCCTTTAAAGACAAACAAAACTAGTGCTTCTCACTTCAGCTTCTGTGCAAACACCCAACCCTAAAATTATCAGTCAAAGGTTTAATTCTTTCAATAAATAAAAGGAAATACCTGAATATGGTTGGGAAACCTCTGACCATCATCATCTTGGAAAGATGATAGGCACTATTTGTTTTCAAGTTTACACATTTGAAAAGTAAAGTGTTACACCCTTTGCAGTGTAGGTGCATGCCTCAGATATGCAGTTTCCCTGGGAATGGCATGTACTGCTGTTGAAATTCAAACTTGTTTCTCAAATGCTGCTCTATAATTTGTAGCACTAAAATCAAATGACCATCAAAAAAAAGGACCAAAAAAATAAAAAGGGAGTGAAGGACAATGAGACAGAAACTATTTTCAAAATCCAATTTGCCTTCACACTTAAAATGCACTTATATTTTGATAGGGGGATATGTCCATACTGCAACTTAACATATATATGGTTTAGCAGAGACAACCAAAACATTATAAAAACAGACCATAGAGTGGGCCAGCAACTAAGGTGTTTTAAAGTAACTTTTTGTCCTGAATAGAATTTTTCTAAGTCCCACTTTTGGCTGTACAACCGGTTTGAAGAGAAATCCAGTTCTTGCTTCCTGCGTGGCTTTGTCTCTTAGTTCACATAGTAAAGCCAATAGACAATATTGAAGAAGGAAAAAACCACGGGGAAGAAGATGCGGGACCACCGATCGATGGCGTTGACGTCAGTCAAGTCCGGGATGGTGATCTTGAGCTGCGAGGCCCTTCTCCGTAGCCGGCTCTTCTTCTGGGCCACGTGTCTCTCGAGGGCGTTGCGGCCGAAGCTGTGCCGGGGCAGCCCGGCCTTGCGGTACTGGATGCTGGAGGTGTCGTAGGCCAGCATGGTGCTGCGGGGGTCTCCCAGCCCCATCACGGCCTCCGAGGCTGCCATCTCGTTCTTGATCTCCAGGGTGCTCAACAAAATGTTCTCGTGGGGGTCCATCTGCAAAACACGGAGAGCGGGGTGAGCGGGGCAGAGGGAACCCGCGGCTGCCAACCAAGCCATGCTGGGAGGGGAGACCTAACCCTGCTCCCTGGGGGCGGCAGCCTCTCTGAGGGACCTCAGGCATTCACTGTCATCTCTTGGGAACTCAACAGCAACAGGGCCAGTACAGGGCAGGGCAGCAAAGGGCATTGCCCCAGACCCACGTTCAGCAAGCACGGGCTGGAAATGAAGTCCACGCTCAGCTCCTGAAGGTGGGATTCTGGGAAGGGTATCTGGGGAAAAAATGGAATTTCCAGGGGTTTTGAAGGGAAATCAAATGGAAAAGAGTCTGCTTTGTTTCAGTCTTTCTTCCTTCAAATGAAAGCTTCTGCTCTGACAGAAATTTCAAGTACTCACAAGGTCTCTGTCTCTAAACAAGGCACAGGGCACTGCACAAGTGAATGCATGTTTTCTGTCCCAATATTCCAACCAGCACTGGTGTTTACCTGGGAAAAGGCACCAGCTAACTATACCTATGTGGAAACTCTATTCCCCAGTGCTAATGAGTTGCATAAATACAATGCATGCTGTGGAGACCTCCGTGCTGGGGCAGCAGAGATCTCCAATTTCAAGCAAGGAAAAAGAGAGGCAGAATGTAATCACATCAAATGTACACTGAACAATTGTTTCAATGGGTAGATTTAGCTACTATGCATTTTTTTAAAGGCAGCTCAGCGAAAAAAATATTAATGCAATGTTGTAAAGAAACCCCTTAGACAATCAGGAGGATTTCAAAGATAAGGAACTAAATTCTACTCTTAGGCGATCTGGAGTAGATCTGAAGTATGGCAGGAGAAATTAAAAATAATCCATTTATAGAAAACAAATATGAAGTCATTTAGGAAGTTCTAATTCTCCTCAGCCTTCCCTCTAAATATACATTTTGAATTGTGTGATTAAAGAGTATAATTAACTAAAAATACTTTAAAAAGAAATAACAGCTAATGAGAAGCTAATTAATTACACTGCCTTAGTGATGGTAGTGCAGATATACTCCAGGCCAAATAAGAGACAAACTTGTCCCAGAGCTCCTTTAAGAATAGCTCAGCCACATGACTCGTGCACACATTCCTGTGTACGGAATATATTCCATGGTTATTGCTCAAAGTGCACAAACTGCCACTTCTGGGGATTTCTGAACAATAATATGGAATTCTTCCATCTGTAATGTTTAGAATCCAGCCCTCAGCAGCAGGTACCTCCTGCACTACCCAACACACTGTATTTGCCATCATTAATCCTCTCTGGAATACTTCCCATGGCACTGGGAGAGAACTGGGGTGACAACAATTGCTTTCAGCAGCACCCCCTGCACAGGCTCTGCTCTGGGAAGGTACTTTGGACCTACTGAAACACTGTCATTTGAGTGATTACATCTGTTCCAGTGATGCACAAAAACTGCCATTGCTGAGATGCCACATTTCCCTCTCTCTCACTTTTTTTCCCACCCAATCTGTGTGAGTTTGCACCCCTCTAGTTTCAGTATATTTGAGTTTTAAATTAGATGTAGTGACTTAATGTGAAGCAGCCAAAATCTTCCATTTTTGTTTGCTTTCCATCTGAGCCAGATGAAATCTTTGAAGTTTCTAGTGTGTTAGGGAAATCCATTTTTTTTTTCAAAAGCACTGGAAAAATGGGAAAGTTGAGCTGAAACTCGAGAAAAACTAATTTAAGCACAATACTGAGCATGGTGAGGAAACAGTGTGTTCTAGCCAGGAGGGCCACCAAACTGGTTCTCACCTGCATCAGACAAAACTAAGGTAAAAACAGTATTCTGCCATTAAAACAAACAAAAGCATCCATGTGGAAATGGTGTCAAACAGATCTATGAAACTCTGAAAGGAGCTTTCAAACATTTTCTTATGATGAGTGCAGTTATTTAGAAATTCTTATGTGATTTTTGGGTGTAAGACAAAATAGGCTGTCCTTTTTGTTACAAGATCTCAGACCAATCATAAGACTTTCAGGATCCTAAAAATAGAAACCATTAATTACAGGCACTTGGCATTCACTGATCCCAAGAATGTCTAAAACCAAAAGAGGTAAGTATTTTACAAGAGGGGTGCAAAGTCATTTGGAAACTACATTTTCCATAGTTTCATGTGACCTTAAGAGAATGAGTTTCAGTTCCAGTGACATCAGGGCAAGTTTGACACAACATCCACTAACATGGTGATTTTACCCCTTAGCCTAGAGCCTGCTTATTTTCACCTCAATGTTGTGCATTCTAAAATACTATTTTTGGAAAGATTTTAGTGCCAACAAATGTGTTCACATCTTAAAATCTTAAATCTTCTTAGGGTGAATCTACTTTAAGCATTTTATCCTTTTGATCTGCAATGATATTAGAAATTTGAGTTCTCTTTACATACTTGCATACATTCTGTGCAACACATGCAAGGAAGTTATTTTAGTTACTAGAGTTAGATACAGACACGCTTTAGTGACAGAGCATTCCTTCAGTTAACTTGTTTTCTTAATACAGCAAACTGCTGCAGATATCTGCTAATCCTGAAGCAGTTAGTAAGATTAGTGATGCTGGGCAGAAAAAAACATTTAGCAATGTTCTAAACTATCTTCTGGGGCAAAGTGTCTTCTCCTGCCATGTATCACACTGATATCGGAGCTGAAGGACAGCATTTTTCAATATTCCAAGAATTTTTCAGAAGAAATAATGAAAAATACAGTAAATATTAGTGATGGGCGAACCTTCAAGTGTTACAATAACCAGGTAAACACCACAAAGTTCAGGTGCTTCTTGAGCATTAAGTTGACCCTCCTGCACCTGAAACAGTGAACTGATCATAAGAGCAACTGCATTTTTTCATGGTACTTTGAATTCCCAATGTAAAGGAACTCCCAAAGTTCCAATCCAGAAGTACAAATGAAGAAAGAAAGAAACAAGCAACAAAGAACTCAGAATAAATTAACCCAACTCTCCAACCTTGGACAGAAGGCTCCCTGTCAGCCCAGAGAAAGCTGGGAATGAAATTTCCACCAAGTAGGTTCGCCCAACCCTAAATAAAACATGCTCCTGGAACTAAGTGACCCTGGGCCAGAATGCCAGGGAATCCCAGCTCTTGCCAACAGCAGCCCCCGTTCAAAGGATCCCAAAGCGCTTTAGGAGCATCACAAAGAGGAACCACTTGAGTTCCCAGTGAAGCACCATCACCCCAGAGGTGAAATGTGGTGACTGACAGTGCAGAACAACAACCAGATTTTACTGAGGAATGGAGAATGTTGTAGCCAATTGGAACTATGGGTGGGTGAGGGTGGTGGGAATGCTGGGCAAGCAGAACAGTCACAGAAATCGAGATCTGGGGCTGAGATGACCACGCCATAAAAAAGTGCCATGGGATCTTTAATGACCAGAAACGGCCAAGACCTGAATTTTAAGTGTCTGAGGATAAAAACATTAGAAAACAATGAAAGATACCTTTGTTGAATACATTTCTGGACAATGATATGTGCCAATTATTCTTCTGTCCTGTAAGTTAATAAAATCAAGACCAGTTTCCTTAGAGATAAGGCAGCTATTATCTTTCATTTAAAATTAAAGCACTCTAGGGTAATAATAGGACAACTAATTAAAATATATAGGGACCTCTAAGCCAACAATTAGGTATATTCAGGTATATTTTGGCTTCAGAGGTGCTATTACTGCCTTGCTCTGCTCCTCAAGGTAACATAACATTGTGATGTAAATGTAATTTTTCCAACTGGTCACTTGACCAAGGAAGGTATGATGATATGAAAACAATTACTAAAATTATTCTGGGGGGAAAGTAAGTGCAAAAGTGGTTTCAAAAGGAGGTGGAAGAAGGTTAAAAAGGTCTCTTGGTGTTGAAGGATTGTTCAGCCATAGAACACAGACTCTTTATGGTGAACAGCAGGGTTCAAACTGAATGGAGAAATTCCCAGGGACGAGAAAGGAAGGGAGGATGAAGATGAAAAAGCAGCAGCAAGTACCATGGAAATAAAAGGTGAAAGCAGAAGTGGAGCAGAAATGACCAGAGCTCAGCAACCAAGTGAGAGGGTGAGGTTTGGATAAATCAATCTTAAAACCGGATGACAAAATATATGGTGCAAATGGTACTCATTTATAGGTGCAGGTCAAGTGGAAGAAAAGCTGACTCTGGAGCCCTGGAAGAGGCCACGACCTTTTTGGTGGTCTCAAACAAAGGGAATACAGAGAAAAGTGCAGAAATGTTACCATTATATATTCTCCCTGATACCTAGAAACTCCAAAATGATGGCTTTCTCGAGGAATTCCTCTCACTTATACATTAGCAAATGTAAAATACAACAAAATTACAACTCCCACACACATACATCAGGAATCCTCCAAGGATGACCAGATCTCTGGAACAACTGACTTTCAGTAAAGCAGCACATTGGTGATTATGCTCTACTGTTCTACCAAACACAGCTTGATAACACTGATGAACTGAAAGGATATAATATTGACATTCCTGCTTTCTCACATAATGTCCATTTTCACCTACAACCTTCAATTACAGGCAGGCACTGATGGCTCCTTTCGTGGCAGAATGGCTCAGAAGCTGTGGACACAACAGGCAGCAGGGATGAAATTTCCCATGGAAAAACCTTCTGAAACAAAACAGTTGTAAATTGAAAAGAAATATCCTTTTGTTAAGTAGGGCTGCCATTAGCCAAAGACAAATCTGGAGAGTTAAACCATGAAGTTTAAAATGGAAGTACCCAGTCTATCCCAAAGATTAACACCTGAGATGTGGCATTTGGGTCCTGTGAACAGACATTCTGAAGAACTGAAGACAGAAATAAAGCTCCCTTTCCCAGTGAAGACCTACATGACATGCCTAGATATGTAATTTAATTTGTTCTAGATAAAGACCTTGATGTTATTGATAGCACAGTGTCCCACCTCTGGACATCTGAGCTTTGCTTGGAAAATCAGTAACATCCCATTCCTGGCTCCTGTCAGCACCTCTGGCAGGATCAGGTGGAGTCTGCAGTGAAGTCTGAAGCACTTCTCGTGTCTCAGGGATGTTCCCCCTCCCCAGCAAGGTCTGAGTGACTGCCTGGGAACCCCTGAGCTCTGGGGCTGCCCTGCCCACACAGGCAATGGGGGGGAGGTACATTAGCTCTGCATGAGCTGCTCTCAGGCTCACTCTGGGAGAAAAAAGAATTAATTATTTCCAAATGGCACCTGCCTAAAGCTATACAGACATTTTTAACAAGATAAGCCAGTCTGCTGAGATAAAGCTACAGAAATTTATAGCACAAAATTATTTCAAAATATTGTCATATTCAACAATGGCTTTAGCAGTGGAACAAACACGGCATTTCCACTGCCTGTACAAAACTGAATTTCCTGCCAGCATTGGAGTTACTGTTTATGAAACTAGGCTAGAATGCACTGGCTCAGGTCGTGTTATACCCCTGAGATTTGGGTCAGGTTGTACAGCACATGGTTAGAGAGCAGTAAAATTGGGATGACTCATAATTTCAGGTTACTTTGCTTGGTGTCAGGTTAAAAAAATTCAGAAAAACTCTGAAAATTAAATAAGATTTTCGTTTAGGTTCTTGAACTTTTTAAAGCCTAGAAATCTAAGCAAAAAAAACCCCTAAGAAACCTGCAAGAGTTAAAAACAAAAGTGAAAAAAAAAATGCAAGATCTGAACATGGAGTTTTAACATTGCTCTAGATACTTGTAAATCAATTTCTAGACATCCAGTTTTACCTTCTGATACATGTAACTTTGATCATGGTCTTCAGTAACACATCAGTAACTCAGCTGCAAGTATTGTGGGATTACAGAGAAATGGTTGAAAACACACTTCCTTCGGCATCCAGGGCTTAAGCACAGGATTCCATACTGGAGACACTGAAGAACTATTCCCACATAAAATGACAGAGGCTGAAGCATCTTTGGTTTGGTGGCGTTTGAATAAAAACCACAAAATATGGACTTGTCTAAAGTGCTGCCCAGAATCCAACATCTAAACCAAAACCAAGCAGAGAACCAGGCGAGGTCAGGACTGTTGTTGGGAACACGGCCCCGAACAGGAGACTGGGGCAATCGATGGGACACTGGTGCCCTGTCCCAGCTGGGGGCATCAGCACCTTCCCAAATACCACAGAAACAGCCCTGGGGGTCTGGAGCAGGGGGGATAAATCACCTCAGCCACCAAGAAGGAGAAATAGGGAGTGCTGTGATTCTGGACAAAAACACCTCCCTCCCCTTCCCTTGGGGCCGAGGCCGTTTAACCCAAACTGATCTCTGGGAAAGGGAAGGAATGAACTCTGCAAGTGAGGTCTCCATGACATGTCATCTCCAGCCTGGCACCAACACACTGCCCAGAACCAGCCAACAGTGCCTGAGTCAGGAGATGAGTTTGCAGCTTTGCTGAAGTAGAGCCGTTAATTAAACAGGATAAACAAATATTGAGGTCAGTCATGTTTTCAACTGATTTCCTGAGACATTTGCTCTCAATCCAAACTCAGAAACAATGCACATACACATGTGGAGAAGACCATTTTCTTCTTTTTCAACCTGCAAGAACGTATCACAATGGTGGGCTTAAATATTAGTTAAGAACTAACTGGAAAGTTTTCAAATCTGAATAACCTTCATATTGATGTTATGACAGTAAAAACAAGGTTTATCAGTCGCTCCTCTAAAACAGCTTCTGTAAGACACTGAAGATGTTATTTTTCTTGTTTGAAGTCAAATATAATGTGCAAGAACTCTGCAGCACATCCCTGATGTGAGAGTGGGTGGCCTGGATGACAGTCTACCAGTGTTCCATCCACCTGACCACGACACACTCACTTGTCAACAGATTCAGGCTTGTGATTTTGGGGAAGACATAATTCTTGGGCCCAGCCCAAAATAAAACATGGCCAGAGGCATCATGAGGTCCAAGGATAAAACTCTGGAGAGAAACTGCAACTAATTCAACAAAAAAATGAATTAGAAGCCCTGAGATTTTTCTATGGAAAATCACTGAGAAGTTCTTGTTACAGAAAAAAGAAAGATGAATTTCTAATGTTTCACAACAAATTTCCAAATTAAAAAAGATCCAGAAAAGTAGTTCTTATGGTCATGTTCAGTGCTGATTTAGAAGCCTGAAACAGAGCCAGCTGCACAACTACAGACACTGCAAGGCTCAGAGGACCAGTCCTGACAATATTAAAATGGAAAGTCTTCTGCTTTCAAATTATGAAAAAAACCACTCTGAATTTGTTGACTGAATTAGAACATTCCTGTATGATTGACTTGTACACTGATAGTCTGCTTTTCTGGAGAGTCTAACATTTTGTCACTCATTTCAAAATGAGTGACAAGAATGAAGGAACTTTGATGCCAAGACGTGGTTAGTCATTTCAAATTTGTTTCTTAGTAAATTTCTGTGTATGCAAAATATATATCAATGTTATGTACCACTGCAAACTTTGTATTATACTTGGTTTTGTGTATGCATTAATTCTAGAGAAAATAAAAATCATATTGTAGTTTTCTCCATGACATTGTGGTGGCTTTTTGTGCCTGTAAACTTCAACCAAATTTGAGTTTCATCAGTTAAACATATTACAGTTCTATAGCAATATATATACATACAGATACACCTGCAAAATATAAACTGATGGACAGTCAAAGAATTTCAGAACACATTTAAAATTAGAGAAAAATGACTTGAATTTTTGGCAATATTGTGCAGTTTGTTCTTCACACACATGATTCTATGGAAACAAGAGAAAAGAACAGTTACCAACATGTAACTATGGCAGGGGTTTGTGTAAAACAGGATTATGTTCAATGTTACCCAACTTTCATCAGGTGCATTTCAGGAAGGGTGATCTACTTGGAGTGTGAAAGCTACTGATGAGTTAATATGACCACACATGGGCTTCTTTTTAATTGAAAATGATTATATATTGCATCTGCCTCCTGCTACAAAAAGGAATGACACAAAAGCTGAGGACTCATCCCCCACACCAGTTCTCTCTCTTCATCAATCCCTACGTGCAACTGGGTTTTTGACCTTCTCCTCCAGCTTTATTATCATTCACTTCAATAAACAAAAAACCTTCCATGTTACCAGTGAAACTTATGTGAAGGTGCTTTTCCCACCCAAAACTGCAGTAGCTTGAAAGGAAACAACCTCAGAATTTCATCAAGTAAAACACGTGCTAAACCCCTGGATTTCTGGAGCCCTTCCTTGCCAGTCACCTGCAGGAACCATTGAAAACTCACAGAATACAGGGACAGAAAATTAAACTTTGACAAACTCTTTGGAGCTGATGTGTTTCAGGAAATCAATTCCCCAAATTCCCCAGCCAGACACACCTTCTGGCCTGCAGCTACACACATTGCTTCTACTTCACTGGACATCATTTGTCTTTTCTGTGTCTTATTTCTTCACAGTTTGATAGAATGACCTGAACTGCACTACAGGATTCCTTCCTGAGCCAAGGGTGTGTTCAGTGCAGGGTCACAGG